AACCTTTCAAACATAGTTCTTTCCAACGAACAAATGGGTGCTCTGTCAAAGGGCCTCAACTTTTGCCCCGCTTCAGGTGGCTTCAACGAGTTTCAACTTCTGAAGGATCTACACAACTTTTCCCGTAATTTGCGTCTGAGAGAATACTATCATGACCGCCGAAGCCCGAATGAAACCAGACCTGCACTACCGACATATAAACAATGGACACCCCCACCACATCGCGACAGATGTCTTGACATTTACATAAACGCTGTACAACGCGACATTTTCGCTGCCTATAAGAAAACTGCGCCTTACCGCCACAATTTGTCCAAAAAAGAGAAGGTTGCTCTCGAACAGTTTGTCGACAAACCATGACATCGTCATCAAACCAGCCGATAAAGGGGGGGCCATTGTAATTCTCAACGCGGTTGATTATATAAGCGAGGCCGAGAGGCAACTTTCAGATGCCACTTTTTACAAAGCTTTGCCCTCCGATCCTACCAGCGAATTTAAATCTAAGCTTAAGGACGCACTTACGTCTTTACTAGAACATGGTAAATTAGATGAAAAGACAGTCCGCTCTTGGTACCACTCAGTCCCGTAGCGGGAAGATTTTATATGCTTCCTAAATTCACAAGCAGAATAATCCCGGCCGCCGCCCCATCATTTCCGGAATCGGCACCGTTACCGAAAATTTATCTCGTTACGTTGACTCCCTCATAAACAAGATTCCAGCCACATTTCCGTCATTCATCAAAGACACCAACCATTTCCTTCAAGAATTGTAGATCTTCATGTTCCATCTGGTTCAATGTTAGTAACGCTGGACGTAGCATCACTATACACCAACATACCGCATAAAGATGGTATTTCTGCAGTAATAAAGGCCTATGAAAATTCCCCTTTAGATAAAACTATTGATAAAGAAGCGCTTGGTACTCTTTTGAAACTTATCCTTGAATTAAACAATTTTGAGTTTAACAACATTCACTATGTACAAGCCAACGGCACCTCAATGGGTACGAAAGTAGGCCCTAACTACGCCAACATTTTTATGGGCATTCTGGAATGCGAATTTTTAGGTAAAAAACATGCTTCAACCTCTCTACTATAGGCGCTTCATTGACGATATTTTTCTTGTCTGGACACATGATGAAGCAAGTCTGCTTGGTTTCATTCAAAAGTTTAACAATTTCCATCCGTCTATTAAGTTCTCGCACCAATTTTCGCGCACTTCTGTAAATTTTCTCGATGTCACAGTCACCATTTCCGAAGGACAACTTGCTACGAAGCTGTTCCGCAAGCCTACTGACCGACATCAACTCCTGCATTTTCAGAGTGGCCACCCCCGGCATTGCAAAACAGGAATTCCCTATAGCCAGGCTCACCGCTTTAAACGGTTGTGCTCTGACCGTACAGATTTCATTGAAAATTGTAATAGGCTCAAAAGTTCTCTAGTAAAAGAAAATACCCGGAAAAACTAATAGACGATGCCATAACTCGAGCTGACCAACTCAACCGCACCGAGATTCTGAAAGGAAAGGACGGGAACGATAGCTCTGCTCAAACTAACCTTGTTCTGACATTTTCATCATCAGCTCCTAAGGTATCTGCTATATTGAAACGGCACCACAACATCTTAACCGAAAGTGATAATCTCAAAAAAATTTTTTCTGTTCCGCCTCGTGTTGTTTACCGACGGTCAAAAAACCTTCACGACATGTTAACGTCATCTAAAATTGGTACCCGTAAAGAGAGTGGCTGTGCACCTTGTAACAAACCACGGTGCAAAGTGTGTGTGCACATGCAAACCACGCAAAACGTCGCGAGCACGTCTTCGGACTTTAAATTAAAGATTCGTGGTAGCTTCGACTGCGACACTTATAATGCCGTATACATGTTGGAATGTAGTGCCTGTTTGAAACAATATATTGGTCATACTGAAACTCCATTCAGAATACGCTTTAATAACCACAAATCCCATGTAAATATATTCCCTCATCTACCGCTATCACGACACGTTCGCATGCCGGGCCACTCTTTCGATCAAATGAAAGCGACCATTCTTGAATCTGGTTTCCGCTCAAACCATGATCGCGAACTCCGGGAATCATACCTGATATTCAAGTTCAATACTGTAGCAGATGGTATCAATGAAGATGCAGGCACATTGACGTGTCTTCCTTCCACGTAAGCTTATTGGTCAACAATATAACAAGTGTACGCTAGTCTGCTTCTCTATCAGAGAGTGCGCTGTGCTGATAATGTATACAGAAACAGCGATTCTTATATATATATAATAGAATTATTTATCATCGGCAACGCGTATATTTTACACGCGAACCATTATTGTAAGAAAAGAGCTTTGACATCCGTAATGTCGCGATGCACACGTGTATCCCGCAAAGCCGTATCAGCTGCCAATGACTTACAAATGGTGACATCACACAGTGCTGTATAGATATATATTTTTGATCACTGAAAACCGTTTTTGTGCTGATACAGATGAGCCTTGTTCGTTACACAAGAGCATGTGTGTTTTTTGGGGGGGTCTCGAATATTGACATATATAAGCGCGCGATTTTTATGCCCTGTATTCCCAGACGAAGGCCGGTCCCACGGTCGAAACGTCGGACTAAACTGTGCTGAAACGTTCGTTGTGTGTGAATTACTCCTTTTTCTATACTATCAGAGCCTGCGTGATACTTCCTATAATCCCTTCTATATATATATATATATATATATAGCATTGACAGCAGCGCCATCACATCTACAATTAACCACAGCGCCCTTTGTTGCTTATAAGTTGAAGGTTACATGGGGGGAGACGGCGGACATCGTGAGGACTTAAGGAGCTTCGCCCATAAAAAAAAAACACAGTGCAGGTCGCATATGTGCTCAGTGACTCCGACCCAAACCGATACTCTTTGTGGGTGCCATATTGAACCACCCTGCGCGCCCCCTATAGGCGATGAAACTTGCGAATAGCTGTCAAACTTATATCATGGGCATTATGAGCTCGAACACGCGAGCGCGTGGCAAATAGCCTCAAAACCGAGATAACCTGATTCGTGGATGGCGCTACTGAAACCGGAGGAAAAAGGGGGGTGCTGTTCCGCTGGCTGTTGGCACTCCCGCATGATCGCCGCTGTAGGCAGTGAAACGGCAGGTGATCGCGTGCCATCGACCATAAGCAACGATAACACGAAAACAAAAAGTGCCAAAAGCAGAATGAGTGAAAGATGCGTTTCAAAATGCTCAGCGAACACCACCTAGACGTAATAAAAGCATAGCTTTTGCATCGGGGCAGGCTGTGTCACAGCCGATACCTTTGTAGCTGCATAGCTTGATTGGTTGTGGCTGTGCGCTTTGATGCCAGGCCATATCACCGCTAGCAGCCACTGCGCCCAGGGTTTGATAGGAAAGTGATTTGATTGATATGTGGGGTCTAACGTCCCAAAACCACCATATGATTACGAGAGACGCCGTAGTGGAGGGCTCCGGAAATTTCGACCACCTGGGGTTCCTTAACGTGCACCCAAATCTGAGCACACGGGCCTACAACATTAACGCCTCGGGGAAAGTGGCGAAAGAAACTCTGTCGTTACGGGCCTCCTTGATTGATATGTGGGATTTAACGTCCCAAAACCACCATATATATTGAGAGACGCCGTAGTGTAGGGCTCCGGAAATTTAGACCACCTGGGGTTCTTTAACGTGCACCCAAATCTGAGCACACAGGCCTACAGCATCTTCGCCTCCATCGAAAATGCAGTCGCCGCAGCCGGGATTCGATCCCGCGACCTGCGGGTCAGCAGCCGAGTACCTTAGCCACAAGACCATCGCGGCGGGGCAAACGGGACTCCGTGCCCTCTCGGTGACAGAAAAGGGGTGTGTCCTAAGTTTTAAGAGTTTATTTTGCACTCCATTCTGTCCAATATGAACGAACATCAAATAGCCAATTATCCGTGCTACTGCCATACATATTTCTAATAACACCGAGGAGAAAACAGAAAGGCACACAGGAAGAGCGTTCCGGCTACAACCGTTCAGAAAGGCCGGTCGATCGCAAAAAGCGCAGTAGCGCTTTCAGGGCCTTCTTCTGTGACGTTGCATCCTGGCGATATTGTGAAATTCTTTCCTTCGATAGAAGCGCACGTGCGTTATTTTTCTTCCCCTCTCTCTCTTTCTCTTTGTATACCCTTTTTCTTCCGCTTATTTACCCACCCCCAGTGCTGGGTAGCAAACCGGACGCCAATATCTGGTTACCTCCCGGCCTTCCTCATCTCTCTCTCCGTCTCGGTACTGAGAAACAGTGATGAGACCCGTCCGTGCACAAAAACTTGCGAAGAGTACCCCGTTCAAAAGTCGTTTCGACAGAATTTCGTACCACAACCAATAAATATAGTAGAAAACATGACGCTTATTTTCGGTTAAACATTGTTCTCGGGTATATAGCGGGCATGAAATATGGAATTTAGGTAAGCCAAACAGCAACATACTACAGTGCCCAAGTCCTCAATTTAGAAGGTATTTTCCCGTCATCTTCTACTCAAGAGATTGCCTGAAGCTGAAAACACATGATTCGTTTCACTTTTCACAATAATTGAGCTGGTGCGATGCCTACCGAAAATGAGATAGGATTATTTCTGCTGGTTTCCTTGCGGCAACGCAATGCAGTTTCATAAAGGTTACATTTAAGGCATGGACCATGATTCGAGTAAATAGCGTTTGCCATCCTCTACTTACAGCGTTTGCCACTTTTCACGCACGCCTAGCACGTACATGAGATAAACTGTGCTGGCATCGAGGAGGAATGCACACGAACCTTTGCTGTAGGTGGCCTGTGCTACTACGCTGCGGCGGTAACCCGTGATTTCCAGTGAGTCCCACGTACGCGTGTTCGTCATCATGCACCGCCATTTGAACACCCGCTTCGTGACGTCATTCCCGCGGAGCTCTATCGGTCGTGCTGAGCTCATTTTTCTGGCAAGAACACAATCGACATCGCTCCTACTCTCACGTGGTGCTGAAAGGCCAGCGTCGTCTGGTGCCTCGGTTTCTGTCCAGTCTTCCCTGCTAACCGTTTATCGCAATCGACAATTGAAAGTTTAGGCGAGCACTTACCTCGCCCACCTTTCCACCGCCCTCATGACATCCTATCGTGTACGTATTATTCTTTCTAGTTGAGCTGTCACCCTTGCAGGTAAACAGAAGTGTTGACAGCTCTCACTGCGCATTATTGGGTTGCTTTGCATGCTCACGTGTTAGTGCGCTTGGAAGGACGCGAAATGCAAGTGCAGACCTTGTTTTCTTGTAGTTATATTGTGATATGTGGCCGCGTTTCGTTCTAATTTTCGGCTGCATGTGAAACGAAGTAGGATTAGCTGCCACTGACACAAGTGGCTCGAGTTATTTGTGTTTTGACGTTGTCAGGCTCCGTTACATCTCGTAACGCGTTTGCAAAACAACCCGCCTTCCTTGGCAAAGACCGGGTTGTATGCAGAAATATATTTTCAAAGAATTGAAATTCAAAGAATTCAGGAGGAGTGGGGGATGGTCCTTTTGCGCCACGTGTAGCGAAGAAAAAAATTCACCCATGGCTAGGTCACTGGGCAAAGAAGCCATAATTTGGCGCTTGTTTCTCGTTTGCAGACGTTCGCACCCGTGGACTCCAAGAAAGAGGATTTCCGGAAATACATTGAAAAAAGTGGACTGCTGGAAAGAATGACTCTAGGTGAACTAACATTCACATGATTTGGATGTGCTAACTTGCGGCATCCGTAAAAAATTGTCATCGAAACTTGGTAGAGCATTGTGCAATTTGGCAGACTTGGCGATGCCCTGTAGTTGTGTGAACATTGTTCCAAGTTGCCGACAAAAAGTTGCGCCATTTCAGCTAAACGTCTTATTTGAAGATCATCACTACGACAGCCGTGAAAGGTTATGACGACTGCTGAAGAGTCAGTGGATAAGCAGAATTGTTCAGAGTCGGCGCTTTGACCAAAGTGCTTGTCTTTGCCAGGGCAACCAACAGCACCCCAACTATGAAGCAGTTGCCTCCTAATAAAGTGTTTGGCCTCGGCTTAATTTGGTGTATACCTTCCCTTGTTTTGCATTGAAACTTGCACAGTAAAGAGACGAGCTACCTTGTTCATATATATTCTCTTGGTGGCACCGCTGTGTTTCAACTCTAAAGCTTTTCGTAGGGCTTTATTTTTCTGAAAACCGATTGTTGCAGCACAAGGACTGTGTTCCCCTGCATTGTTTCGGAAAGTTAATTTTCTTGGAAGCACATAGTGTTCACTAGGTTAGTTGCCGGAAAGGCCTGTCACGGTTTTGCAGTTTGAGCATGGCAGTAAATAACATTCCCACACCAAATGTTTATTTTTTGGTGTTGTATAGCAATTGTATCAAAGTTCAAACTAACGGAAGTCTGAGAATCATTGTGAATTTTACAACTTTCAGTGCTGACTCATGGCTCACAGTTTTCATGGGTGTTGAATGCGCAATATCCAAGAATGTGCTGTGAAATGCTGCTAATGATATGAAAAGTAATCTTCCCATGTAATATCATAACCCAGTGGACTCAGATAATTGGTTGTTAGTGCAGCCTAACTTGAGTACAGCTTGAGCACTGAAGTTCACTCTGTTGTATGGTCACACTTGATCAGTTAGTGATTAGTTAGTAGGTAAACAACTTGCTGCAAATGGGGACTGAACTAGGGTATCTAGTCAGTGTTTCTTCTCTTAACGAATTTAAACCATGCTGTACTATGATCCATGCTTGCTGGAAAACTTGAACATGTTTTACATTTGTATAAAGCTATCATGCTTTGAAACTTAGTGCACCTCACCTCTTTGCCCACATTACTTTCATTGCGTGATAAATACCTTGAGTGATAAATGTACTTTAACTCATAAATAACTAGTTTCTACTCTCTTCATAGAAGTGCTGACAGTACCTTTGATTGATAAGATTGAATGCAGTTTGTTCATGCCTCACTTTTTGCCTAAAAATCTCTTGTTCAATATTTTTTTTTCAGCTCTTGTGAGCCTCTTTGAAGAGCAGGAAAGGCCGGAAAACGCGAATTGCGTATCCTTTCTGTATGAAAGCCTGCACCCCAATTTTGGTGCTTTCGGCCGGGTTGTAAGACCTCTTGAGCTACGAAACCAAGATGAACTTAGTTTAGTTGCTAGTCACTGCATGACATACTACAGCTAAAGAAAGACTAGCAATGACAGTAGCGGTGCTTTCAACCACTTTGTTCAGTACATACTATATGTGGGCATGCATTCATGAACTCCTTGCATACATGGAATGAATCAGTAAGGTGACATGTTTTTATACCCTAATGGGGCACCTACTAGCTACGAACGGTGATCTCCATATCGCACAACCTAATGGGAGTCAACGAATGATGGAAAATGAATCAAAGGTCCCATTGCCCCGTTATACACAACCTAAGGAAGCAAAAGAAAAAAATTTCGGCATTATTTGCAAGTATAATAGTACGGGCATAGTAAAGGAAAAAACAACCTCTTGCCAATGTGGGCTGAGCCCTCAACCTGTAGATTATGTGTCTGTTGCCATAACGACTGAACTTTGTGCGCCATGGTTCTTTTGGTTCTCACCTACATTGCATCAAGTGTGTGCATTCTTAACATGATGATGTAGCAACAAGGTTTGTATAAGTCATGTTTTATTTACGCTGCAAAACTCTTTCCCAAGTGCCTGAATGTCCTTGGCACTTTACTACAGTCTTTCTCAGTAATGGTTTATTATTTTCCCGAAAGCTCGGCTTTCCTGCAATTATTGTCCTTGACTGCATTTTCAAACAGCTACTTCAAATCTCGCTTCGATCCTGACAGCTGGGAAACCAGCAATGAAGCTATGAAGAAGGAGCTGGAGCAGGTGCGGAGGCAACTTGAAGAACTGCAGATAGAGCACAATCTTCTGAAAATGCAGGTATGAGATTTTTTAAACACCTTTCTATAATATATTGATTGAAAAACTTTTGATGTAAGGCATTCATTGCTTTCCCTGCATATTGTGGCTATCGCCTTTTTCACCTTGTAAGAAAGGTAATGCCCACGGTCCCCATTGTAAGTGGCAGTTTAGTGCCATCGTGCCTTGGTGTTGGTGATACCACATGATGGTTGTCAGCGTTTCACTGTGTTCATCTATGTTTCATGTTAAAGCGGATATTGTAGCTACTGTTGTCACAAGGTCGCATCATATGCACAATCTCAAGTCAGGCCAGATAGTTGACAACATGCAGAACGCTTTGCATGTTGTTGATTCTTCATCATGTGTGATATGTAGTACCTTTTACAGTGTAGCTGTTAAGCCTTTTGTTGGTCTGCATAGATCGTACTGGAAACTATCATCATCACAAACTGTATGCACTCTCTTCATCCTGTTCTTCATCTTCTGCTTTGCTCCACAAACATGTGCGGCTGGCGTGCACCCTCCCATTGTGTGCCGATTGTCCTGCATGGGATGCTGTAACTCGAATGAAGAGAGAATGAGTACAGAGAAAGAAAGATAAAAGATGGAAACGGAGACAGATGAAAAGAAAAAAAATGAAAATAAAAAGAAACAAGGAAGGCCGTCCAGCTCTACTCTGCCTTCAGGCTTGGCACCATTACACTCAGCGACAACTTATCTTGACATTGGAGTGAAGGCTAGAAAGGCGGGGCTTCTGCACAGTTTAATAGAGAGAAAGGAGGAGAGGCGAGCCTGGAGAGAGTCATCAGCCTACTAATCCTCACGGTGCTAGGGAGAGGTTGATTTCAGGTGACTGTGCTATGGTGCCTATACTCTTGTACATGTGGCTACTCTATGCACATTGTCCAGTGCACAGATGTACGCCTCGATTCACTATGTGCGGGTCTTCACATCACACAGTGCACTGCTCCATAGATGTGAATTTTAGCCTGTTTCGATTCCTGTTCAACATAGATGTCAAAGCACTTGAGGGGTGGTAATGTCTCCATGCTCCCTAGTTTTTGTCAAAAATGGCCACGAGAGTACTAATAACAGCTAGCTATGCATTAAAGTGTCTTTCACTTAGCTCCATATCGAGGATGAAAGTTCAGTACTTGGAATGTGTTCTTTTGGACTATTGGTGAATTCAACAGTTCTAGCTCATTCACATTGGTGCCTGCCACCGGTTGTGCGACCAAGTTGGATGCCAATGGCAGCTTTGGCTTAGTTGCTCGCTGCTCAATTTTTAAATTGCGCGACTGCCATTGCAAACATCTGAACACAACATATGCGTAGGAGCACGACATTAGCTTATCTTACGAGGCTGTGGCACTACAGACAGACAAGAATTCAGTAGCAGCGACAAGTAGCGGGCATTAGCCGGTGCCTCGAGTTACCCTTTGGCCGCCAGTCGCAAGTGTTCGCACAAACGGTGCTTGTTGTCAGTGTGAAGGAGCATTTTGTGTTTTGCTTTTATGCAATCTTTGTAATGTTGTTGGCGAGTTGAAACAACACCCAGCTTTAATATCCTCCAAAACAACAGAGTTGGTTTGTAGCGATTTTAACGTTCTGGTTTTGGCATATGAAACCCCAGAATTACTATTACATAATTGATTCCTAACCACAATGTTCATGGTATGTTATCATTGTTTAGAGGTCAAAAATATTCGATCTTGATTTAGTACTTAAAGTTCCTTATAAAGTGAACGCATGATTGCTTCAAAACATTGGCCTGGGTATGTGTGCATTTATTGGTGAATTTGTTTTGTTTGTTTTTGTTTTCCTCTAGATGGCCAAGGGTGTTGTGGAGGAGGCAGTTGTTGCAGAGCCTGAACAGTAGTCATCCCCGTGGGTGTTGTGGAGGAGGCAGTTGTTGCAGAGCCTGAACAGTAGTCATCCCCGTGCGGCATGCTGAATGGAAATTGTTACACGTCTCCTTTTTGCTATTTTGATGGCAACGTTAGTTCCTGGCTACGTTTGTTTGGTTCTTGAAGACTGATAATGCTGTATGTCTCGTCTCATTCAGCACCTTAAAAGAAGACTCTCTTTGATGTTTGGGTTTCCGACCACGACTCCCTCTATTTGCTGTACACCACGTCAGCACTCCTGAGGATTATTTCTACTGTTCAGGCACCAAATTTTTGGTCCCCAACCGGCTTGCATACACAGGGTGTAGGCAGCCATGAGGAGTACTTGGAGAAAACTTCTGAGAAGTAGTGACATAACTTTTTACTACTTTCTAGAAGCTTTCTGGCACTTTGGCACTAGAATTCAAAAAAAAAAAAAATTATGTGTCTTCATAGTGCAGTTTGCTTTATCATTTTCGGGGGCAGGCTGCTTTATAATAATGCAAAACTGTTTTCTTTCAAATGGTTTTATCAGTAAAAAAATGCTTAAGCAAGCCCTTTTAGCAGCATGGATACCTCAGCTGAGAATTTATTGAATGTTAGCATGCAGAAGCTTCTTATATTGCACCTTTCCTGTTTTTCTTTTTTTTCCCCGAGATGCATGTATTGTATTCAGTCAGCCTGGAGTATTGAACATTATCTTTTAGTTCCTTGCATTTATTTTGTTATTGAAACCGGTTATTTACCATCAGCCTCATCAGGGGCTCTGTACGTGTTCATACGTAACTAGCTAAGGTAGTGAGGAGCCCACAGTACTTAGTTTGGTGATAGTCATGTTTGTTAGAAGAGATCTGTGTTATTTTGCTTTTATTTACTGCAGCAAAGGGTGACTGCAATATGTGATGTGTGCAATTTAGGTTGTCCTCGTATCCTCTTTTGAAGTTGATAAGCAACAAGTCATTCCTCTTTTATGTTTGATTGCACAATAAATTTGGATTGTGATGAGACGCCGGCCTATTTTCTGTGACACTCGCGTCGAGCTGAATGCATGTCTGTCACATTTCTTGCGGAACACAACTTGCCGCTAAGTGTAAGTGACAAAGCAGGAGTGTGGCGGTTTGGGCTAGTTGGTATGACACGACGATAGTTATAGCGCGACAACAGAACGACCCCTTCTTGTCCCTTTCTCGTCGTTCTGTTCTCGCGCTATAACTGTCAACAAAGCAAGACCGTTGTTTCGGAAAATGTTCCCGAAGTGTAAGGACGCGGAGCGATAAGAGTGCGGGCGTGGAGGAAATGATTGCAGATGCCAAAAACACAGTGGTGGAGGTTCTGAAATGTTGTGCTTTCACAATCGCAGTGCGCAAAAGCAACAACGGCGTGCCTCAAATGTTTCAAGTTTGTCATTTCCTATATGCAACTCTCCCCCCCTCACAAACCACTGAGGTGGTCTCCTAAATTCCTGTTAGCAACATTAAATCCATGGGTGGTGCCTGCCAAAACTACAGCACACCTTTCAGAAAATTGTCTGCATATCAGTACTCATCACTCGTTGCAAGCATCTGTGTTGTGCCTTAAACTAGACATGTGACCTCTTGATCTGCAGCAGAATGCTGTTAGACACTAAGCCATAGCTGAAAGCTAGCAACAATTTGGATTTTTTTTGGCTAGTACACAGGTAGTTTCTAGCTCTTCTGTGTAACCAGGAACAGAGGAATCAAGTAGCACTTTGAGAGCTTGTGCAGCAGCTAGTCCTTCGTCATGTGATGCAATAGCCCATGAACAAAATAAATCGGTAAAGATTATGCTAGCTTTACAGGCACTTGTCAGTGAAAGCCATGGGCATGCACATGGCTTTTAGTGTTAGAACATTCCTCTTGCTAAACTAAATACGAAATTCATTCAGAGCTGCCCCGCCGCGGTGGTCTAGTGGCTAAGGTACTCGGCTGCTGACCTGCAGGTCGCGGGTTCGATTCCCGGCTGCGGCGGCTGCATTTCCGATGGAGGCGGAAATGTTGTAGGCCCGTGTACTCGGATTTGGGTGCACGTTAAAGAACCCCAGGTGGTCAAAATTTCCGGAGCCCTCCACTACGGCGTCTCTCATAATCAAATGGTGGTTTTGGGATGTTAAACCCCACAAATCAATCAATCAATTCATTCAGAGCTACAAGCAAAGTTTACACGAGTGTGACGTAACACATAGCCTTTGTGAAAGTTGCAGTACAATTCACCAGAAAGGCCAATCTTGTTAAAATAAATGATGCGAATGATTTTTGTAGCCCGAGATAAAGCAAGCAGATTAATGCAGTGTAAGCAAGCGCTGACATGCGATGTCTTTTTTGAAAAGTATACGACCTTTGGTGGAAGAAAAAAAACTGGCACAATTGGAGCGTTGAAAACCTAATCCCCTACAAAGTAGTCCTCTTGGGACTGCAGACACTTCTTACAGTGGTGTTGCTGTTGTTGGAAGCATTCTGAGAAGGCCTCCTTTGGGATAGAGTTTAGCTCAGCTGTCGTTGCAGCTATGATGTCTTCCCTTGCTTTAAATTGCTTTCCTTTCAATGTTCTCTCGAGTTGGGGAAGCAGCCAGATATCGCAGCGGGCCATATCAGGAGAGTAAGGAGCCTGTTGAACTACGGGAGTCTGACTTTTTCACAAAAAAGTCTGAACCAAGTCTGAGGAATGTGCAGGAGCATCGTCGTGATGGATGCGCCAGTTTCCTGTTGACCACAACTCGGGTCTCTTGCACCTCACAGCATCATGTAGGCGACGGAGCACATCCCTGTAGTACTCCTTGGCGATTGTTTGACCCTGTGATGCGTACTCCTGGTGTACCACACTGTTGGAGTCAGAGAAAGCGCTCAGCATCACTTTCACGTTGCTGCGAACTTGGCAAGCCTTCTTTGGTTTTGGCGACGTGAAATGAAGCGCTTCCACTGTGACAACTGGGATTTAGTTTCCCGGCCGTACCCGTGCACCCAAAACTCATCACCAGTGATAATGGTGTCCATGAAGTTAATGATTGATATGTCGGGTTTAACGTCCCAAAACCACTGATGATTATGAGAGACGCCGTAGTGGAGGGCTCCGGAAATTTCGACCGCCTGGGGTTCTTTAACGTGCACCCAAATCTGAGTACACGGGCGTCCATGAAGTTAGGGTCACTGCTTGTGAAATGCAGCATGTCCTGTGAGACTTCAACACGAAGTTGCTTTTGCTCTACCGTGAGCAGTTTTGGCACGAATTTCACCTCAACTTTCTGCATGGCCAAATCTGTGGTCATAATGGAATGTGCAGAGAAAGTGCTGAGGCCCACTTCTGTTATTTTCCAGATAGTTGCACGATGGTCCTGCATAACCACAGCGTTCACTGGTCATTTGGGCATGCTGATGGCCGATCGGAGCGTGGCTCGCTTTCGACCAATGTGCGGCTGTCTTTAAACCGGTTGTATTACTCCTCAATCTGTGTGCGGCTAATAGCGTCATCACCGAAAGCAGTCTTGATCTTCCCAATGGTTTCCACTTGGCTGTCACCCAGTTTCTGGCAAAATTTGATGCAGTAGCGCTGCTCCAGTTGCTCCGTCATTTTCCTTGCAATGAAAAACCGACGAGAGCACTGTGCACTACCTCACTCAAACGCTGCGTCCCTGCGACTGACACTATTGGCAGGCGGGAAAAAAATTCACGCACGTGCACGAAGGTTCAAGGTCGACTGATGCAAGCGCGCTTGTTTCAAATCCATCAGGTGTTCGGAAAAAAAAAATAAAGTCAGATACTTTCTAACAGACGTTGCATTTAGCTGATAGTGGGAAACAGACAAGTATCAGCATGAATTACTCCACTACATTTGCCGGAAAAGAGTGGAAGCTTGCTTCGCACTAAGGGCAGTGCACAACATGTAAACAGTGTTGCTGTATGTTACCGCATCATGCTATAACATAGTTACTTTCACACTAGCGAAATGCAACTATAAGCGTGGCAGAGTACTGCCCATTCTGCTCGTCATGGCATATGCTTAGGCACAAGGTGATATCAAAGCAAGTATTCTGGTTTGCAGTGTGCAAATGTATACAAGTATGTGTTCTTTATTGAACAATTTATGCCATTTTAGGCAAATTGAACCACCCAGACACTGTGACAATAGGATGAAATGACACAATGGTGCCCCAGTGTGCACCAGTGAAATTTCATGTGCACAGGTAGTGCGGCCCATGTGCGAGTTCACAACGAGAACAAAGAGGTACAGATGCACACAATTAGTTGAAACAAATCCTTTTTTATTCACCATTTTCTAAACCTTTGGTCAGGTCTTGCAAATGTAGCAATAACTTATATTCAGCGCATCGGTGCAAGCCCGCAGCACAGTCGTATGGACACTCTTCACAAGATGACGGCTGTGCGTCAACTTTTTAGGCGGATTCGTTGGCGATTTCCGCAACACCACCACTGAAGAAGTTGTTAGCAATAAGAAAGTTGCTTGCATAACGGTGTCCGTGACACTCAAGCCGACATCTGGGCACTCAGCTTTTCCGCCTGCACTTTTTTCACGTTCCAGTTGTGGAGTCTTGCCATATCTGAAGAGCGATCAGTCAAGTACAAGTAACAGCATAAACATGCATTGACATGTTCTCAGTAGCCAGTAAATAAACAAATAAATGTCGTGTTAGTGAAACATTCTCTGGGACATATTTTAAGCGAATGCAGACGTCAAAAGACGGCTTGAAGATGGGTACAGATATAAGCAGCACTAAGTACACCTGATAGATGTAATGCTTATTTCCTTCGTTTTTTTAAGGACAATACATTGGCAGATCATAGCAGTCATAACAAAATAGTCCTAGTGCTACACAGTATTAATCTTGCGCTTCATCAATGGCCCAAACACTGCTCCACTTACCTCATCACCACACTTGGACTGGCCAGGAACAGATCAAATGGCCGTGAGAGAAATAAGATTAGGCTACGTGAACCATTGCATTAGTCTAGCTCAACTAAGCAGTGATCAGACACAGCAACCTCACTTTAAAGCTACATTTAACACATATGGTTTATATTACTGTAGTCGAATACAACAAGCAGTCCATAGAGGCCCTGCTCAGACGACTGAAGTGCAGCAGCCAAACGCCTCCACCACTGAAGAAATAGTCCAACACATGCACTCTGATATGTTCTCCGAAGGCACGGTCACTGGCAGTTCGGCTCATGGTGTTAGTGTGAAGTATGCGCCGGTTGGTGCAGGCTTGTCTACATCCGCTTCTGAGCAGGAAATGCCATGGACTTCTGAAGTTATATTCGATTACAGAGGAAAAGGTCCGACAGTAGCATCTGCAGTGCAGTGCCTAGTACGAACTGTATCCAGTCAACTGCTTGTAGATTGTGCTAAAGTTTTGTTAATGAAAGGATACCTTTAAATGAAAAGCTGTTTCGGAAATGCTTGTTGACTCCCCCTTTTCACCAACTTACAAATGATACAGCTAAACAGTAAGCGCACTGCCCTCTTCCTAACCACAACTGACCATCTGGCCTCAGGAAAATCGCTATTTCCTGTTCAGAATTTCTGCCATGCTTGTGATGTTGCAGGAGCTCTGTGATGATTTGAAAACTTTACTGCTTGCTTAAACTAATAATGACTACATGCTTCTGACCGGAGTGGAACAGGATACATGGGTATGGGAGTAGTTCTGGGAGCAAGCAAAAGTGCATTTCGTAGCAGGCTTGGGTTAGCCAAAAGAAGTTTGGAGCAGCCAGAAGGGCCGTTTTGAGCAAGTTTAGAGCAGTCAGAACATTCAGAGCAGATGAAGCTTTGTAACACAGCACATGCAAAACATTCATCCAATGCTGCATTCCTCAAACACTCAGCTAAATTGTGCCTTATTATTGCGACAGGGATTGTATGGACACTCTCGAACGCGTTTTCTGCTGCTGCCGCCACGTCCCGTATTAAGTTCAAATTGATAGCTTAATCGTATGTTCCATCCAAGAGTAAAAGCATGCGAGCGAGCAGGGGGCGACGAACACGGCTGAAGTAGAGATCAAACGAGCCGGCCCATTTTTGTCACGAGAGACCATGCAATAACATCCCTTCACCCGGGATGCCTGTAGTGAAAGCAGCACTACACCCGTTTTAAGAGAGCATGAAAGGAAGCAAGGGAGGGGAGGGGTATGTTGCTTAAGCAACAACTGTGGATTTTGCTTCAAGGTCATGGTCGCAATCGCTGGCGACCATGATGCCAGCTCGGCACTCATAAATGGGCGGCTCTCGTATACTTCTATATGCGCTACATTCTCATCGCTCATCGCGAAGAAACTGTGCGAAAAGTGTTGCTCTCTCTGAAGTGGCGGTATTCTTGTACATCAGCATTTTGTAGAGCTACGCAAGATTTCGGATTTAGAAGAGTCATATTCGTTGCTATTCTATTCATTGCTTTGCCCTTACTGCGAGTTTTTTAGCTATGTACAGCCGTTTATTTTTTAAAACCTGAATGTGCGAGCATCAACTGCCGCGTCGATAAGCACTGTATAATGAAGCACAGCAGCCAAATTCACGAGAATACGTGCATATGCTCGATGCACAGTCTGTTCACCTGTCTTTGCTAGGCCTGTTTAGGAACTATACACCATGGCCGCTTTTTTTTTTTTTTAGCACAGTTACTGTCATCGCCCTCTTTTTTTCCGCACGCTGCCGCCAAGTTATAAAAAAAGACAGTTTCACTGGAAGGGCAAAGCAATGAATTTGATATATGAACAAATTGCAAGGCTGGCAGCTAACTCTTTAATAGATACGATATCCCGCAACTCTAAAAAAACATTGTCGTAGGAGAACACTGCCGTGCCAAGTAGAGATCCTCTTCTTGCAGTCTCTTTGCGTCCTAGAGCGCCGCATCACATGGAGGTGTTTACAAGCCATTCGCTCTGTGATGCCTGCCATATATGGTGACTACGCCCTTCAAATGTTCACGGCTGCTTCTGGAGTAATCGTAGCCGTAACGAAAGCCAAAGCTAAAGCCATTTCAATGAAACCGAAAAGAAGACGTTTCGTAAACACACTTCCGAAAAGAGGCTTGATGGCTTCGCACCATGTGGCTCAATTCGGATGCTGCAGCATAGTATGGCCCTGATAAGCTAGTTTGGCGCAGCAGGGGTGATTTGGCACGGGATGGCACAGATGCACAAGTTTGGCGCACAACGGCGCAGCTGTTCTGCCCCTATTCTGAAAATCGAGAAAAGGCGATTTTGATTCAGCAGGGCCATTGTGTGCACTGTCATAAAAACTTCAGTCTTTTTGTTATTTTTAATAAAGTAGGTCTTTAGCAACGCATGTGCGGTAAGCGACACATGCGCCTATGAAAATGATGGTCCACATTCTGCAACATGCACAACAAAATGCACATCTGTACTTGTCTTTATTATTATTGTTATTATTAATTATTTATATATATGTCGATTCTTTGTGTATTCTCCATTTGCCAGTCGTTCAAACATTTTTTGGTTGTTTTTTCAAATAAACTTTTTTGAAATAATAATAGTATGGAGTACTGTTAAGCCCCTTTATAAGAGACTTGTCCCAGGCAACAATTCTTGTTGTTTATATGGAGACTTCTCTTATAAGCAGAGTACCACGTATGCGTTTTCATCACCCCTTATTTCAACTAAGGCACACTGGTGTTTCTCATACCCAATGGTCAGTTACATCAGTGCATAGGTTGGCAAACTCTTTCATGAATCGACGAGTTGGACTTTAGTGAGTCTGGGCGAGTAGTACTTAGGAGAGTCTTAGTCCGAGTGAGTCCAGTTGAAGAAAATTTTCGTGGGTGTGAGTCCGAGTGAGTTCGGCCCAGAAAAATTTTGGCGAGTCCGAGTGAGCTCCACAGGTTTTGCCGACCTATGCATCAGTAGTGTGTCTTACAGAGGCTCTACGCAGCCTCTGCAGAACACGAAGGTTTCTCAAGCTTTGTTCTGTCACTCGCGCTTCCTATCATTGCATATGCATGGGCACAGTTTTCAGTTTTTCAGGCGCCGAAAAAACCAGCAGCATGCCATGTCTGGCAGCGACCTTCTTTACGTTGTGGCAGAGCCCGTGAAAGTGAAGCATAACTTAGGGCCTATTATTTTAAAAAAATCACAAGCAGTTTTTTTGTGTGTGCGTGTTCCCCGTCTTGACTTCTGCATAACTGACTCGTAAACCGTATTTGGATGTTTTATTGGTGGCCTATGCAGATGTGCATTACCATTTTTATATGTTGGTTCTTTTATTAACAATAAACAGTTGGTAGTAGTGAGTGAAGTTTGTAGGGTTGAAACATAAATGACATGTGATGACCATAGCCTATATATACAGATATTGCACAGTTATTCTGCTCCTCCAGAATAAAAACAAACAGGGGCCTGACACAATGCCTCTGAAGCTATTCACTGCTTGGATAGAAGTAGTATAAAATGATTAGATTGGGAAGACGGAGTGAAGATAAACAAAGAATACCTATGTAATACTTGCTTTGCCGTCAACATCGTGCTTGCCAGCATCAACGGTGATGAATTGCAAATACGTTCCAAGAATTAAGCCTAGAAAGTGCCAAAATAGGGTTGAAGATGAATGCTGTGAAGTATGATGAAAGAGCAAGAATTCGAGACAGACAAATGCAACCTCCGAACAATATGGGGCCTAGGCTAGAAAATTTTCAACAGCTAGTTTTTCTAAGCAAATCTAGATGGCACCACTGCATCGAAACACCACGGCCTCCTTCTCGGCGATGCTATTGAGATGTGGCGTGTGATGGACATTGCCCTCCAGCCTACGGCGAGAAACAGACAGCGCCGACTATGCGGGCGCGTGCGAACGTAGCAAGAAAATATGTCTCGTTAGCAGTTTGCCGAGCCCGGTGCGCTGCCGGGCGATCAACGCTCACAGCTCTGTCTGCCATGTCAACACCTAAACCAAAAACCACTGCGCCCGCTTTTCTGGCATTCAACCCGGGAGCGGCGAATCAGTCGGCCATTGGCAACAGCGAAGTGGAAAGGAGGTCATTAGATCACGTGTCCAAACGTGGCGGCGCCCGTTTGCCACTGCACAAAAAACAGTCTATAGAGAAGTCTAGGCATGTAATCCAACGAAAACAAAAAGTGTTCAATTTTGGTATTTTGCCAGTCATAATACATAGTGCAGAAACCCAGGGAATAACAAAGAAGCTGAGGACCACCTAGCGCACAATAGAACGAAAAATGACAGGCATAACTCCAAGAGATAGAAAAACAGCACAGTGGATTCGACAACAAACGAAAGGCTGATCTTTTAATATATTTTAAAAGGCGATAATTTGAGCAGGCCATGTCACAAGAAGGAAAGACAACACATGGTTAGTTAAAACACAGGAATCAAGACTAAGATGGGAAGCACCGCCTTTGTCAGCAAACGAAATCGATATTAAATGGGCCCTGTAGCACTTTCTGAGCATGGTAAAAAAAAACGTCACCGATTGGTAGTCGCGGCTCCCAAGGAAATGTGAGTTAAACATTATAGCGGAGCTTATTGCCTGGAATTTCCAATACTGAAATTCAGCTGGAAACCGATCCCTCT